AAAAAAAAAAAAAAAAGGCTGGAGATTTAGCTCAGTGGTTTCGCCACTGCTGGGCAAGCACAAGGACCCGAGTTCAATCCCCAGTACCAAAAAGAAAAAAAAAAATGGCACAAATGATGAATACATGTGTTTGGAACAAGGGGGAGTATTTTGGGAAGGATTAATGGCAATGTGTCATTGACTGTAATAGTTTTTAAAAATTAAACATTCACTGTAGTTTTTTATCACACCTTGTGAAAAGATAGCTGAATATGTACTTTAGTGGTAGAGTTTGCAGTTAGCATGCCCAAGGCCCTGGGTTCTGGGTGTGATCCCCAACACTACAATAAAAAAAAAAGACTTAATTTTAATAATGTATATTTTAAGCCCAGAATACCCAAAAATTATTTTTCAGCATCTAGAAAACATTAACATATTTTACATGCCTTTTTTCATACTAAGTTTTCCAAGTCCAATTCAGACATAGTTTCCATTGGAAATATAAATTTAGATTTCATGAAATTTACAGTTGAAGCCAGGCATGGTGGTGCACACCTTTAATCCCACCACTTGGGAGGCTGAGGCAGGAGGTCTCCTCAAGTTTGAGGCCAACCTGGACTACATAGTGAGTTCAAGGCCAGTCTGAACTACACAGTGATACCTTATCTCAAAAAGAAAGAAAGAAAGAAAAAAAAATTAACAATTGAGGATTAAATGCAAATAAAGTGTGTGGCACATGGCAGATGGTCATTACATATTTGACCAAGAAGTAAATGAGACAGAAGCATTGAGTTAATACTCTGCAGCCTCCATGAATATTCCAAAGCCTGGCCAAGTAAACTTCTGGATATTTTAACCTAAATCTAATGTCAGCTATGGTGGCGCAGGTGTGTGATCCCAGCACTCAGGAGGCTGAGCCAAGAGGATCACAGCTAGTTTGAAGACAGCCTGAACTATGTAGCAAGACCCTGTCTCGGAAAAAAAACAAAAACAAAACACCACCCCTGCAAACAGAGACGTTTCACCCAATCCAGACACACATTTTCAGCGGTTTCTCTCTTCCTCAAGGGCTCAGAACATTTTAAACTATCAGCTTCCTTCCAAAGCTGAGTAGGCAGGTGTCCTGGTAGCATACTAGGTTCTGAGCCACCGTGGCCTGGACCGGGTGACTTTTCCTCTCTGGATGTCAGTGTCGCCCAACGGAGAAAGGAGCCTGGGGGTAGTCTTCGAGGTCAGGCGCAAAGTCTCATCTAAACCCAGGCCAGTGCAGGGTCCAGCACGGCCTGATGGGGTGGGCAGCGGGCCCAGGCACCAGGTCGCAGCCCCATCTCCTCTTTGCCCGCTGTCCGCAGACCAAGGAGTTCATCTTCTCGGAGTTGCTGGCCAACCTGTACTCGTGCGGGGACCAGAACACGCTGATGGAGGAGTCTGCCGAGCAGGCGCAGCGGCGCGACGAGATGCTGCGCATGTACCACGCGCTGAAGGAGGCTCTCAGCATCATCGGCGACATCAACACGACCACCGTCAGCACGCCCATGCCCCCGCCCGTGGACGACTCCTGGCTGCAGGTGCAGAGCGTACCGGCCGGACGCAGGTACCAGGGCCGGTCCCCACGGCCCCAAAGCCCCCCAGCCCGGGGCCCGAGGGAGGAGGGCCGGGACCGGGCAGTGGCGCGCCCGCGTCACCGGGATGGCTCCCACCTGGAGCGAGGGGCGGAGCTTAGAACGGGGCGGGGCTTGTCGCTGGGCGGGGCTTGCCGTGGAGCGCTGGCTGCGGGGAGCGAGCTGGAACGTTGGAGGCGGGGCTTAGGCTCCGGGGATCACCTAGTGGCGGGTGGGGCGGGGGCTTGCTGCATGGGCGGGGCCGGCACTGGGCTGGGGGCGGGGCCTCCCACCGGCGCGGAGCCACTCATCTGGTTCTTGTTCCCGGCTCTCTGTCGCCCGCAGATCGCCCACGTCCAGCCCCACGCCGCAGCGCCGAGCCCCCGCCGTCCCCCCAGCCCGGCCCGGGTCGCGGGGCCCTGCTCCTGGGCCTCCGCCTGCTGGATCCGCCCTGGGGGGGGCGCCCCCCGTGCCCTCCAGGCCGGGGGCTTCCCCTGACCCCTTCGGTCCCCCTCCCCAGGTGCCCTCGCGCCCCAACCGTGCCCCGCCTGGGGTGCCCAGGTGAGTAGGGGCTGAGAGGCCACCGGGCGGGCAAGGCCGGGAGGGAGGTGGAGTCGGATCTGGAGCCCCGGCCCAGCGGGCAGAGCCGGCGCTCCCCTTCCCGGCGGAGCCGAGGCCGCAGGGAGCCTGACCCAGGGAGCGCTGAGTCCCCAAGGCGGTCGTTTCTGGGCAGGAGGCTGTGCGCTCGTCCCACCTGCCCTTTTCTTCTCAGCATTTGCATGGCGCTTCCCTCTTTTTTCACTCCTGGCCTCCCACATGTTGAGTTTCTCCTTTCCCCTTCTGTTTCCTCTCTCATTCTGTCCTCAACTCCTCTTCGAGCCCCTGGCAGCCTACCTCAGGTCTAGCGGTCTGGTCTGAGCCCAGATCCTCTCTGGACGTGTGGTACTCATTCAGTTTCATCCAGGGCTGCCTGATGCCCCCATTCCATAGCCCGGACTCGAGCTGTCCAAGGGGTGTCCAGCCTCTGGCCCATAGGAACAGAGGCCAGGCTATGACTGTGTGAGCAGCAAGGTGTGTGAGGTGCGTGTGGGCGTGCACACAGGTGTGAGTGTGAGCGTGGCACCCAGGCACGGGACAGCACAGGGAGCAGATGAAGAAGGGCCTGGGAGGCATTGCATCCTGGTGGCTTTTCTGTCCCCTTGCCTCTGGCCCTGCCTGGTCTGGACCAGTTGGGGTAGGGTGGGGCCAGGCAGGAGTGAGTGAAGACGTCCAGAGAAAAGGGATACTATGTCTTCTCCTGGCATCCCCCCAACACACACACACACACACACACACACACACACACACACTGCTGGAAATCTAACCCAGGGCCTCAATCACACAAGGCAAACACCCTGTTACTGAGCTGTCTCCCAGCCCTAGCTTTGCCCTCTTGAGCCATGGACTTTCGAGGAAGTTCACTCCCATATCTAACTCAGTCTGCCTGGCTTCGACAGGCCCCATTCCCTGCGGAAGAGCACATTAGATCAAGAGCATCACTTATGTTTCCAGGTTGCTGGAAGGTAGGGCTGGGCATCTAGCTACCTTAAAACAGATGAAGTGTCACTGGGACGTGCCCTATGAGGACCTGATGGGCAGCGTGGTAATGGGCAGGAACACTGGACTGGACATCCTGCCCCTTTAAGCTAAACGTTTTCCCTCCAGAGCCTCAGTTTCCTTCCACCTGCCAAATGATAACCTTCTGCCTTTCTCCCACGGTTGGTGTGGGGACCAAGGGACACGGTGGTTACAGGGATGCCACATTAATGGCAGGTGTGGCTATGCAAGCACTTTGCTAACTGCCAACGTGGGTTCAGACTCTTCTGGGTGCGTGCTGAGCTGTGATACATGAGAACTATGATTTGGTACCTGCTCTGACTCCAGTCTCACTAACACTCGGTAAACATCTGGCAAGTGGAGTCTTGGTCCTGCTGGGGGCATGAGAGCAGCCCGGAAGAGAGCAATTCTTTAAGACAGCCTGACTTCAGTGGGATCCGAGCATGATGGAAATAAGGCTCGGGTGGTACAGAATGGGAGGACATTCCATAGGCAGCAGCAGTGTGGGCAAAGGTTGGGGCAGAATGTCTGGGTGAAGTGCTGGCCAGGCAGAGAGTATGGATAGAGTGAGGAAGAGATCTGTGTGTGGGTGGGCAGGTTGGAAAACCTCACAAGAGGCTGACTTGTTGGATTCAAAGCTGTAGGCAATAGGGAGCCATTGAAGGCTCTTTGGCAGAGAAATGACAACCAGACCCCTAGAAAGCAAGCCCAGTCCCTTATGGAATAGTGTGGTGGCCCTCTGAGCACACCAGGCACAAGTGTGCAGGGAGCTGGTGCAAATGCCTTCTGTGTGTGGGCAAGCTTCCGTGTTGTGACAGCCCACGCGTGTGCTTCCATGTACCAAGTGGCTGCATGCCCCAGATCTGTGCTGCACGCGCCGGCCGGCGAGGGTGCTGGGCACAAGGAGGTGGGTGGGAGGTGTATGCGTGTTGTTCATGGGCATGTGTGTTAGCGTGTGCATGCAGGGCCATGGGGCCACACCGCATGTGTGTGCACGCCTGGGCGTGTGTGTGTGTGTGTGTCCCCCACCCCCAGGCCTGCCCCACTCGTGTGCGTGTGAACTGCCCTGTTGATTTCGTGCTGTCTTTCAGAATCACTATCAGTGACCCCTGAGGAGTGTCAGCCACGGTAGGTACATGCTCTCAGCCTGCTGCATGAACCGTGTGTCTGCCCCACTGCACCAGCTCCACACTGCGGGGCACACCTGGGGACCAAGAGCCAGGCCCTCCTCTCCCTTCTGCAGCTCCAGGCACCCTCTTCCTTTCTTTCCTCTATCAGCTGGCTCTGTCACCTCCTTCTCAGCGAGACTCAGGACTCAGCGCCACTGCCCATGGCCTCATGGCTGAGACAAGGGCTCTTGGGACAGGCTCCCTGCCTGAACTGGCAGGCGGGGTGCTCTCTGGAGCCGCCAGAAAGGCCAGAGAGCTCATGGCGTGTGATGTAGGGGCTGGGAGTTTGAAGGGGTATGTGTGTGACTGGGCTCTGTGTTAACTAGCAGCCTGGAACCTCAGCTGGGATGCCACACCCCATCCCCAGTCTGAGCCCTGCTGCTGAGGCTGAACATCCAGCTCCCAGCCCCAAGCTCTGGGAACAAAGTCCTCCACCAGGCAGGGGTGACAATCAGGCAGCGATTGAGCGGAGGCTCTTGTTGGTTGATGATTTCTGGAAGCCCGAGGGTCCCATACACACCATCAGCCCACAGTATTCCTCACAGTCAAAGCAGGGACACGCAGGCCCTTCCCCACCTCCTTGGCTTGTCACACCAGGTGAGGCACCGCATGGGCTCCTGCAACTCGTCTTCTTGTTCCTAGGGGTGACTGTGCTTTTTAGCCAAGGGTACAACAGGGTCTGCTGACCTGAGCCTGTCAGCTTCTGGAGTTCCACCTAGCCAGGACACGGAATTCACCCAGGGACCCCACGTGCCACTCCTCCCCAGCCACTGACTCTCGCTCTTCTGCTTTTCCCCAGCAGGAAGGGCCCGGCCTCGCCTACGAGACCTGCAGCGCCCCGACCAGCTGAGGGTCCCCTCTTAGACCTATAAGTCTGGTCCCTGGCATCAGCTGCTGCCCTTTCAGCCTCCCCAGGGTTCCCTCCGAGGACTCCTGAGCTTTCTGACTCCCTGAGGGGCCTCCAGGACTCTCCAGCCACCCCTTTTAGATTTGCCCTCCTGGCTCCAGCCGTCTTCTTCTTCTAGCCTGCCGGCTGTTGTGTGGGACTCCCCGAGATTAGGGGTGGCTCTGGGCCAGTGGGATGGAAGACAGGGTGACCCGAGAAGAGGGAGGCCTGCCACGTGTCTGGAACTGGGTGCACTGCCTGGTGATGTGTGAGGCTGCGCGTGTGGCAGGGGACACCCCAGCCTTTGCCCGGATTACCCGGGAGCTCCGGCCCACCGCCTCCAGCAACCCGTTCCCATCCTCCTTCCCTTTCCCATCTGTCCGTCCGCCTCGTCTCTTTCCAGAAACCTCACCATGCCCACACTGCGTCATCCCCTCCTGCCGCTGCTGGGCCATGGCTGCCTTGCCTTACCAGCTCTCTCCTTCCTTCTCTCTCCCGGTTTCTCTCTTGGCCTTCTCTCCAACTGCCAGCCGATCGGGTCAGGCAAGTCCATCCCGTCCTGAGAGTCCCAGGCCCCCCTTCGACCTCTAACCAGATCCCTCCTATTCCTCGGAGACCTCCCCAAAGCCTGCCTGGACGGCTGTTCTGTGACTTGACAGTGGCTCCCCGGCCCCAAAGCGTCCCCTTCATCTGTGACTTAGTCTGTTGTAGTGGTGAGCTGACACATCCAGGCGTGACAACGGTGAACTCTTGTGCCCCTGTGTGGTATATTGCTCCCGCCCTTATCTATAAATATCTATAAATACTCATATATATATATATATACATATATACATATATATGGCAAACAGCCTCGCCTCTAGTGTTGGGAATCAATCACCATGCTGTCCTTGTGGAGTCTTGTGGCCCAACTACAAGGGAACACTGTCACCGACACCCCCCTTCTGCAGTGAGCCTCCCTGCCCTGCTTGGCCTGTGGACAGCCAGCCCCCCGGCCATCCTTTCCGTAACCCCCCCACCCAAAGCATGGGGGCACTGCAATGGCAGCTGTGTGGTTCTCTGACCGCCACCAGTCCTGCTCTCTCTTGGCTGAGAATAAAACCTGTACCTGGACTATGGGAAACCTGTGTCCTCCTGGCTCGAGTTCGCTGCAGAGCACAGGGATGGGGCTGGAAGGAGGGTGGCGACTAGGAAAGCACCGAAAGTCGGCCTTTCCGCAGGCTGTGAGCCCCGCTCTGGCCACTAGGGGGCCAGGCCTCACACTCGGCCTGAAGGATTTGGGACTGGAGCTGGCACAAGGGAGGGCCGGACGGGAGGAGCCAGTGCCCAGGGATGGACGGGCCAGGCCTGGTAGCCCCCACGGTGGTCGGTGGTCGTCTCACCCGCACTGAGCAACGTACAGGAAGGTGCCACACAGCCCAAAGCCCACCTGGCAGGACGCACTCCCTGCTCAGTGGCAACCTACAGCCGACCCAGGACCCCAGAGCAGGAACACACAAGGCCAGGTTGTATGACTAAATCCATTTATTCCAAAGAAAAAGCAAAATAAACAGGAGCCGCATCACCAGGGCACCACAACCCCATCCCCGTCTCCTTCCTCTGTTCTCTGCTACCAATAAATAAGTTTCCTAGCCCCAAATAATTATAGGATCTGCTCCCCGTTCACGAGCTCCAGCCTCTGCTATGATACAGGGGGCGGCCCTCCCCCGGAATATACAAAATGTTACACAGGTACAGTATGTACATGGGGGTGGGAGGCCCACCCAGCAGCCTCTGCCCTCACGGGGCCTACTGCGCCCCAATGGTTGTAAGGCCTGTGATAGCGCTGCCCCATTGCCCTGCCGGAAAGTGCCTTGGAGGCGGAAGCCCCTGAATGAAACTGCTTCACTGACTGCCTGACTGACTGGCCACAGGGGGACCCAGCTGGCCTGCTCCAGAGCCTCACAGATTGAGATTGCGGCTGGGGCTGGGGCTGGGACTGGGGACTCGCCTGCCTTCGTGCACCAGGCCGCGTGCTCCATCCACAGGACAAAGATGGAGCGCGGCTGGATGAAGGATGCCCTGCCAGGCCTCACCCGGCCCCAGGGAGCCCTACCTGCACCAGGAGCTGGCAGATGCTGCCCACTGTCCTGCCCCAAAGCATCTGAGCAAGAGTGGGTCCCCACTGCGGGATGGCTCAGCAAGGGCGAGGAGGCCCCAAGGACAGGCTACGGCTCCATCCAAACAGCAGTCCAGAAAGTAAGACTCACGCCGACCAGCACAGCAAACAGCAAAGGGTCTGCACCTGTCTGTGTCCCCACTTAGAAAGGGGGTCATATATTTTTCTATTTATTTTTTTAATTTTAAAAATTTTTTTCTTTTTTTAATTTTTAATTTGAAAAATTATTGTTTTATTTTAATTTTTTTATTTTTTTAGTTTCTCTGACTACTCTAAAGATAAAAGGTGGCAGGGACTGAGTGGGGGACAGTGGGGACAGCCTTGCCTTGCTTCTCTAGGTCTGGCGCTCAGTCTCTTTAGATCACCATGATCTTCACCTCATCGTTCTTGTCCGCCCGGTAGAAGAAGGGGATGCAGGGGTTGCTGCCCAGGCCCGGGTGCTCCTCAGGGTTCTGGATCTCTCGCAGCAGCTGCATGATCTGCCGCGCCGTGGGGTTCTCAGGGGCACAGCCCAGCACAGCCGCTTCCTGGGCAGGCTCAGCGCTGTCGGCAAGGCTCACCTCACGAAGGTCTTTGGAGAGAGCAGAGGCCTCAGTGCTCACCCCCTCCCCACTCCTGCCCCTCACCTGCCCCCCGGGGCTCTGCTCACCACCCTGCTCGGCCACGGCAGCACCAAGTTCGTGAGCGTCTTTGGCCCCTGGAATGGGCTCCTCAGCAGGGCTTCGGGCGGCTGCCAGGAACCTGCCCTGCCACTCGTTGCGCTCACCCACAAGCCTCAGCACCAGCTCCTGTAGCTCCAGTAGCTTCACCTGGAGGGAGAGGTGCTCAGTGCCTGCTGTGGCCCGGCCAGCCCCAGCCCCAGCCCCAGCCCCAGCCCCAGCCCCAGCCCCAGCCCCAGGCCACAGCCACCTGCCCGGCCCCACCTTCATCTCTTCCTTGTCCTGGGCCAGCCGGCTGATGTACTCCTCCTTCTCTCGGTGCCGCTCCTTCAGCACCGCCCTCTGGTTTTGGTAGAGGGCGATGTACTCCCCTGAGGGGAAGCGCACCACGTCAGGGCTCCCACACGGCTCCCTGCACCCCACCGCTCTGCCCTGCCGCCTTGGACCCAGCCTGTTCACCGATGGTGTCTGTCTCCCCAGAGAGCTGGATGCAGCGATGCTCCAGCTCGTCCACCCGCTCCTTGAGCTCTGCCTTCTCCTGCATGACCTCCAGGAAGCGGCGCTGGAGCCAGAACAGCGGATCAGGTCTGTGGCCACGAGCCCTGACCGCCCTTCCTAGCCCATCGGGACAGACTCACCTGCAGCTTCTCCATGGTCACCTGTAGGGCCCGATGGCTCTCCCCAGACACGCTGTCACCCGTGCTCCCGGGGGTCGGGACCTCCTTCTCAGGCACACGGTGAGACGTGGCTGACAGGTGGGCGAGGTGCTGGCACTGCACCCTCTGCTCCCTCAGCTGCCCAAGCAGCCTCGCCCGCTCTTCCCGGGCACTGGCGAGAGCTGCATTACAAAATGCCACCTGCAGGAAGAGGGTGTCTGTGCCGGGGGACTGCTCAGGGTCTCGGAGCTCCTGTTCTTCCTAGGGGGATGGCGTCTGAGACTGGTGCCCAGGGAAGCAAGAGAAACCAGAGGGTGGGGAAACCAAGGAATTGGGGTGTCCAAAGGGACCACGGGGAGGCAGGGAAGGTAGACAGGGAAGGGACACTTAAGCCCAACTCACCATGGCCTCCCGGCTGTCTAAGTCCTCTGGGATGGTCACATCAGGCTGAGGAGCCTCCTCCTCCGTGTCCTCCTCATCCACCTCCTCTCCTGTGGGAGCAGCCAGAGGGTCCTGGCCCACCTCTGCTGCACCATCCCATCGCGTCCCCCTGGCCCACATCTCTCCCCTCCATTCTCTTTGGCCAAGAGTCCTCCTCAGGCTCCTCCTCCCTCCCCACAGCCTCACTCACCTTCCCCAGGTGGGGCCAGGAGGCTGAGCTGGGCCTGCAGCTGGCGGTTCTGCTGGCTGGTGGCCTCCAGGCGCTCCTGCAGTCAGCGAGAAGGTGAGCAGACACAGAGGCGGCCAGGTCCTCCCGCCCAGCCTCAGCCACTCCCGGGCTCACCTGGGTCTCCCGCAGCTCCTGGCGGGCCCTGTCCTCGGCTGTCTTACCCTGCATCTGCTCGTGCTGCAGCTGGTCCAGGAGCTGCGTGTGCACCAGGAACTGCCTATGCAGTGCCTCCTTCTCGGAGGCCACCTGCTGCCAGGCTGCTGCATACTGCTGCAGCTGGGACAGGAGTTGCTCTCGCTGCTGCTGCAGACCCTGCACCTCCTGGCTCTTCAGTTCCATCTGCAGAAGATGCTGGGCGTGAGGCAGTGGGATGACCTGTTTCCCAGTTATGACCCATAAACAGGGTAGGGACACCCAGAGCCCAGGCCTTCTGCACCCAGCCTCACACCTTGGAACCTCCTTTTCCACCACTTGGACTTTACTTCTGTATATATATATATATTTTTTTTTTAAATATATATTTTTGAGACAGGGTCTCACGATGTAGTCCAGGCTGGCCTCAAACTCTTGGCAATCCTCCTGCCTCAGCCTCCCAAGTGCTGGGATTACAGAGGCATGTGCCACCACACCTGGCTGTAGCACTTGAACTTTAGACTCCGGATCTGGAACATCAGAGGGAGCCAACGCACATCTGCTAAGCACTTTCTGCTAGCACCCTTACTTCACACATATTATCTCACTCAATCCTCAAAGTCTCTATGAAGAAAAGGCTAATCTCCTGAAGTTAAGGAAACTGAGGCTCAGTGATATGAAACATTGAAACTGACGGGTGGAGCTGAGGTTAGAATAAGAGCCCAAAAAGCCTCCCATCAAACGCTGTTTCCCCCTGTGATGAGGACATCTGCACCTGGAGGAGCCCAGGCCTGCCCATCTCTAGCAGTCAGAGGCAGGGAGTGACAGTCACAGGATAGCTCTGCAGGACTCTGGGAGCACCTGTCCCCAGGCTGCAGCACATCTGCCCTGGTCCCCACACCTCCCCTCCCCTGGCTGGCACCTCTGTCAGAGCCCAGGCTCATGGGACAGGAGTTACCATCTCTGTGAGCTCCGCCAGCTTCTCCTGCAGCTGCCCCAGCTTCTTGGCCAGCTCCTTCTTGACATGCTGCTCTGACTGCAGTGCACTGGTCATCTCCACATTCTCGTTGGTCTACACAAAAAGGAGCAATCAGTGCCACCAACACAGGCAGACCCGGGCCCTGGATGCAGGTCCACAACACAGGGAAGGACAATTATCCCTTCTTCCCCAACAGATGCCTAGGCAGGGTTCTAGCTCACAGGGCATCTACCTACGTGAGATGCCCATTTCTATGGGGGGAGACAAAAGCCCAGAAGGTTTGTTGCTCTGCCCTGAAGGACTTGGCAAGTCAGTGGCCACACACCAGCCTGACGAAGCCGTCCTGCAGCTCGGCCAGCTGCTCCTTGAGCTCGCGATTCTGCGAGACGGCCCGGCTGATGGTGGTGCGGTCGCTCTGCATGCTTTCCAGGATCTGCCTGCGCTCCTCCGCCTGCTCGCCCCACACCTCGGCCTCACGCTCCAGCTGCAGCAACCGCTCCTCCTGCTCCCGATTCAGGCGACTCAGGCTTTCATTGTCCTGCACCTGGGCTTGGAGCTGACCTGCCAGGCACTCCAGCTCTTTCTGCAGCCGCTCAGCCTCTGCCTGTAGCCGCTGTTCCTCCTCGGAGGGCCCGGCTGGGGACTCTGGGGCTGCGGGCTCCACTGGGAAAGGAAGAGAGCAGTCAGGGCCTGAAGCCTCTGGCTTCTGGAACACTCTTCTCAGGCCTCACTCCCAATTCAGGGTCCTTGCCCTAATCTTGGCTTCCTAAGACCTCATACCCAAAGGATGGCCATTCTCGAAGCCACTTCCCAGTACGGCTGGCCATGGGCACATCCCCCTCTCTGCAGATGGGGACACTGAGGCTCAG